CCCGAGGTGCTGCAGTGTGTCAATGTCACGCTCTTCTCCCCGGCCGAGTGTCGCAGTTTCTACCCCGGCTCCATCACCGACAACATGATCTGCGCGGGGCACCTGCAGGGGGGCAAGGACTCCTGCCAGGTACGGGGGCACACCTGGGCACAGCTGGGCACAGCTGGGGACACCTGGGGCACCTGGGGACAGCTGGGACACCTGGGGACAGCTGGGGACAGCTGGGGACAGCTGGGACACCTGGGACACCTGGGGACAGCTGGGGACAGCTGGGGACACCTGGGCACAGCTGGGGACACCTGGGGCACCTGGGACACCTGGGGACACCTGGGCCACCTGGGGACAGCTGGGCACACCTGGGCACAGCTGGGACACCTGGGGCACCTGGGCACACCTGGGGCACCTGGGGACACCTGGGCACAGCTGGGGACAGGTGGGCACCTGCAGGGCGGGAGGGACTCCTGGCAGGTACCGGGGCAGAGCTGGGCACACCTGGGGCACCTGGGGACAGCTGGGAGGGGTCAGTGAGAACCTGGGTTTGGGGCCTTCAAACCCAATGAGCTCCACCAAAGGCTCACCAAACCCAACGAGGGCTCAGTTGACCCAACCCAACGAGGTCCCCCAAGAGGTTGACCAACCCAAGGGGTCACCCAAGCCAGCGAGTCCCACCAAGGGCTCACCAAACCTATCAAGGTCCACCAAGGGGTCACCAAACCCCATGAGATCCACCAAGGGGTCACCCAACCCAACGAGGCCCACCAAAGGGTCACCCAAACCCAACGAGGCCCACCAAAGGGTCACCAAACCAAACGAGGTCCACCAATGGGTCACCAAACCCAACAAGATCCACCAAGGGGTCACCAAACCCAACGAGGTCCACCAAGGGGTCATCCATCCCAATGAGATCCATCAATGGGTCACCCAACCCCATGAAATCCACCAAGGGGTCACCAAACCCCATGAGATCCACCAAGGGGTCACCAAACCCAACGAGGTCCACCAAGGGGTCATCCATCCCAATGAGATCCATCAATGGGTCACCCAACCCCATGAAATCCACCAAGGGGTCACCAAACCCCATGAGATCCACCAAGGGGTCACCAAACCCAACGAGGTCCACCAAGGGGTCATCCATCCCAATGAGATCCATCAATGGGTCACCCAACCCCATGAAATCCACCAAGGGGTCACCAAACCCCATGAGATCCACCAAGGGGTCACCAAACCCAACGAGGTCCACCAAGGGGTCATCCATCCCAATGAGATCCATCAATGGGTCACCCAACCCCATGAAATCCACCAAGGGGTCACCAAACCCCATGAGATCCACCAAGGGGTCACCAAACCCAACGAGGTCCACCAAGGGGTCATCCATCCCAATGAGATCCATCAATGGGTCACCCAACCCCATGAAATCCACCAAGGGGTCACCAAACCCCATGAGATCCACCAAGGGGTCACCAAACCCAACGAGGTCCACCAAGGGGTCATCCATCCCAATGAGATCCATCAATGGGTCACCCAACCCCATGAAATCCACCAAGGGGTCACCAAACCCCATGAGATCCACCAAGGGGTCACCAAACCCAACGAGGTCCACCAAGGGGTCATCCATCCCAATGAGATCCATCAATGGGTCACCCAACCCCATGAAATCCACCAAGGGGTCACCAAACCCCATGAGATCCACCAAGGGGTCACCAAACCCAACGAGGTCCACCAAGGGGTCATCCATCCCAATGAGATCCATCAATGGGTCACCCAACCCCATGAAATCCACCAAGGGGTCACCAAACCCCATGAGATCCACCAAGGGGTCACCAAACCCAACGAGGTCCACCAAGGGGTCATCCATCCCAATGAGATCCATCAATGGGTCACCCAACCCCATGAAATCCACCAAGGGGTCACCAAACCCCATGAGATCCACCAAGGGGTCACCAAACCCAACGAGGTCCACCAAGGGGTCATCCATCCCAATGAGATCCATCAATGGGTCACCCAACCCCATGAAATCCACCAAGGGGTCACCAAACCCCATGAGATCCACCAAGGGGTCACCAAACCCAACGAGGTCCACCAAGGGGTCATCCATCCCAATGAGATCCATCAATGGGTCACCCAACCCCATGAAATCCACCAAGGGGTCACCAAACCCCATGAGATCCACCAAGGGGTCACCAAACCCAACGAGGTCCACCAAGGGGTCATCCATCCCAATGAGATCCATCAATGGGTCACCCAACCCCATGAAATCCACCAAGGGGTCACCAAACCCCATGAGATCCACCAAGGGGTCACCAAACCCAACGAGGTCCACCAAGGGGTCATCCATCCCAATGAGATCCATCAATGGGTCACCCAACCCCATGAAATCCACCAAGGGGTCACCAAACCCCATGAGATCCACCAAGGGGTCACCAAACCCAACGAGGTCCACCAAGGGGTCATCCATCCCAATGAGATCCATCAATGGGTCACCCAACCCCATGAAATCCACCAAGGGGTCACCAAACCCCATGAGATCCACCAAGGGGTCACCAAACCCAACGAGGTCCACCAAGGGGTCATCCAACCCAATGAGATCCATCAATGGGTCACCCAACCCCATGAAATCCACCAAGGGGTCACCAAACCCAACGAGGTCCACCAAGGGGTCACCCAACCCAACGAGGCCCACCAAAGGGTCACCAAACCCAACGAGGTGCACCAAGAGGTCGCCAAACCTAACAAGGTCCACCAAGGGGTCACCCAACCCAACGAGGCCCATCCAGGGGTCACCAAACCCAACGAGGTCCACCAAGGGGTCACCCAACCCAATGAGATCCATCAAGCCAAGGGGTCACCAAACCCAATGAGATCCACCAAGGGGTCACCAAACCCAATGAGATCCACCAAGGGGTCACCAAACCCAACGAGGGCTCAGTTGAACCGACCCAACGAGGTCCACCAAGAGTTTGGCCAACCCAAGGGGTCACCCAACACAACGAGGTCCACCAAGGGGTCACAGAACCCAACGAGGCCCATCCAGGGGTCACCCAACCCAACACGTTCACCCAACCCAACGGTGTCCACCAAGAGTTTGTCCAATCCGTGACGTCTGTAACCAAACCCAACGAGGCCCACCAAGAGTTTGACCAACCCATGGGGTCACTCAACACAATGAGATCCACCAAGGGGTCACCCAACCCAACGAGGCCCATCCAGGGGTCACCAAACCCAACGAGGGCTCAGTTGACCCAACCCAACGAGGTCCACCAAGAGTTTGACCAACCCAAGGGGTCACCAAACCCAATGAGATCCACCAAGGGGTCACCAAACCCAATGAGATCCACCAAGGGGTCACCAAACCCAACGAGGGCTCAGTTGAACCGACCCAACGAGGTCCACCAAGAGTTTGGCCAACCCAAGGGGTCACCCAACACAACGAGGTCCACCAAGGGGTCACAGAACCCAACGAGGCCCATCCAGGGGTCACCAAACCCAACGAGCCCCACCAAGGGGTCACCAAACTCAATGAGGCCCATCCAGGGGTCACCCAACCCAACACGTTCACCCAACCCAACGGTGTCCACCAAGAGTTTGTCCAATCCGTGACGTCTGTAAACCCAACGGTGTCCACCAAGGGTTTGGCCAACCCAAGGAGGTCTCGGCTGACCCCAAAGTCCTCCCCCGGCCCTGGTGACCCCGGTGGTGGTGACGTTGTCCCGCTGTCCCCTCAGGGTGACTCCGGCGGCCCCCTGGTGTGCGAGGGCACCCTGCAGGGCATCGTCTCGTGGGGCATGGAGCGCTGTGGGCAGCCGCGGCGCCCGGGCGTCTACACCAAGGTGTGCCGCTACGCCCGCTGGATCCAGGACACCATGGGGGACACCTGAGGGACACCTGAGGGACACCTGCTGCTGGCACCTGAGGGGCACCTGAGGGGGCATCTGAGGGGACACCTGGAGCTGGCACCTGAGGGGGCACCTGGAGGTGGCACCTGAGGGGACACCTGAGCTGGCACCCAGGGGACATTAAAGATGTGCCGGGGACTCCGGGCTCCGCGTGGTTCTTCTGCTCCAAAATTGGGGATTTTGGGGATTTTGGGGTGAATTTGAGGGGAATTTGGGGGTTCCAGGGCACCATGGGGGACACCTGAGGTGACACCTGAGGTGACACCTGAGGTGACACCTGAGGGGCACTTGAGGGGACACCTGGAGGTGGCACCTGAGGGGGCACCTGAGGGGCACCTGGAGGTGGCACCTGGAGGTGGCACCTGAGGGGACACCTGAGCTGGCACCCAGGGGACATTAAAGATGTGCCGGGGACTCCGGGCTCCGCGTGGTTCTTCTGCTCCACAATTGGGGATTTTGGGGTGAATTTGTTGGATTTTGGGGAGATTCTGATGGAATTCTTGGGGGATTTTGGGGTGAATTTGAGGGGAATTTGGGGAGATTCCGAGGGAATTTTGGAGGGAATTTGAGGGGATTTTGGTGAGATTCTGATGGAATTTTCAGTGGATTTTGGGGTGAATTTGAGGGGATTTTGGGGGTTCCAGTGCACCATGGAGGACACCTGAGGGACACCTGGAGGTGGGAGCTGGCACCCAGGGGACATTAAAGATGTGCCGGGGACTCCGGGCTCCGCGTGGTTCTTCTGCTCCAAAATTGGGAATTTTGGGGATTTTGGGGTGAATTTGTTGGATTTTGGGGGTTCCAGGGCACCATGGGGGACACCTGAGGGGCACCTGAGGGGACACCTGAGGGGACACCTGAGCTGGCACCCAGGGGACATTAAAGATGTGCCGGGGACTCCGGGCTCCGCGTGGTTCTTCTGGGACGTGATTTGGGAGATTCTGTGGGAATTTGAGAGGATTTTGGGGTGAATTTGTTAGATTTTGGTGAGATTCTGATGGAATTT